GTCTTTGCCTGGTTTTGGATAAGTGTAATACTGGCTTCATAAAATGTGTTTGGCAGTTTTCCTTCCCTTTCTATTTCATGGAACAGTTTAAGGAGGGTTGGTATCAGTTCTTCTTTAAAGGTCTGATAGAATTCAGCAGAGAATCCATCAGGTCCTGGACTTTTCTTTTTGGGGAGACTCTTGATTGCTGCTTCAATTTCATTTTGTGTTATAGGTCTATTCAGGTGATTAATTTCCTCTTGGTTCAGTTTTGGATGATCATATGTATCTAGAAATCTGTCCATTTCTTTAGATTTTCAAATTTATTTGAATATAGGTTCTCAAAGTAGTCTCTGATGATTTCCTGGACTTCCATGGTGTTTGTTGTTATCTCCCCTTTTGCATTCCTGATTCTACTAATTTGGGTTTTTTCTCTCCTCATTTTAGTCAGGTTTGCCAGGGGTCTATCGATCTTGTTTATTTTTTCAAAGAACCAACTTTTTGTTTCATTAATTCTTTGTATGGTTTTTTTGGTTTCTATTTCGTTGATTTCAGCTCTTATTTTTATTATTTCTCTCCTTCTATTTGTTTTGGGATTTGCTTGTTCTTGTTTTTCTAGGAGTTTGAGATGTATCATTAGGTCATTGATTTGGGATCTTTCAATCTTTTTAATATATGCACTCATGGCTATAAACTTTCCTCTCAAGACTGCCTTAGCTGTGTCCCATAGGTTCCGGTAGGTTGTGTTTTCATTTTCATTGACTTCTAGGAACTTTTTAATTTCCTCTTTTATTGCATCGATGATCCATTCTTCATTAAGTAATGAGTTATTTAGTTTCCAGCTGTTTGCATGTTTTTTGTCTTTACTTTTGTTGTTGAGTTCTACTTTTACTGCATTGTGGTCAGATAGTATGCATGGTATTATTTCTATTTTCTTATATTTGCTGAGGCTTGCTTTGTGCCCTAGGATATGATCTATTTTGGAGAAGGTTCCATGGGCTGCTGAGAAGAATGTATATTGTGTAGAGGTTGGATGAAATGTTCTGTAGACATCTACTAGGTCCACTTGATCTATTGCATATTTTAGATCTTGGATTTCTTTATTGAGTTTTTGTTTGGATGACCTATCTATTGATGATAATGGAGTGTTAAAGTCTCCCACAACCACTGTGTTGGCGTTTATATATGCTTTTAGGTCTTTCAGGGTATGTTTGATGAAATTGGGTGCGTTGACATTGGGTGCGTACAGATTGATGATTATTATTTCCTTTTGGTCTATTTCCCCTTTTATTAGTATGGAATGTCCTTCTTTATCTCGTTTGATCAATGTAGGTTTGAAGTCTACTTTGTCAGAGATAAGTATTGCTACTCCTGCTTGTTTTCGGGGGCCATTGGCTTGGTAAATCTTCTTCCAGCCTTTCATCCTAAGCATATGCTTATTTCTGTCGGTGAGATGAGTCTCCTGTAAGCAACAAATTGTTGGATCTTCTTTTTAATCCATTTTGTCAAACGGTGTCTTTTGATGGGTGAATTAAGTCCATTAACATTAAGTGTTAGTACTGATAGGTATGTGGTGATTCCTGCCATTTAGTTATCTTAGTTGTTTGAAGGTTTGATTGTGTGTACCTAACTTGATGTTACTCTCTACTGTCTTGCTTTTTCTTATCCTGTGGTTTGGTGCTGCCTGCCTTTTCATGGTTAAGTTGGGTGTCACTTTCTGTGTGCAGGATCCCTTGCAGAATCTTTTGTAATGGTGGCTTTGTGGTCACATATTGTTTTAGTTTCTGCTTATCATGGAAGACTTTTATTGCTCCATCTATTTTGAATGATAGCTTTGCTGGGTAGAGTATCCTGGGGTTGAAGTTATTTTCATTCAGTGCCCGGAAGATCTCACCCCACGCTCTTCTTGCTTTTAATGTTTCTGTTGAGAAGTCTGCTGTGATTTTGATGGGTTTACCTTTGTATGTTACTTGTTTTTTCTCTCTTACAGCCTTCAATATTCTTTCCTTAGTTTCTGAACTTGTTGTTTTAATGATGATATGTCGTGGAGTAGTTCTATTTTGATCTGGTCTGTTTGGTGTCCTGGAGGCCTCTTGCATTGTATGGGAATATCTTTCTCTAGATTTGGGAAATTTTCCGTTATTATTTTGTTGAATATATTACGCATTCCCTTCGCTTGCACCTCTTCTCCTTCTTCGATGCCCATGATTCTCAAGTTTGGTCTTTTGATGGAGTCAGTGAGTTCTTGCATTTTCTTTTCACAGGTCTTGAGTTGTTTAATTAATAGTTCTTCAGTTTTTCCTTTAATTACCATTTCATCTTCAAGTTCTGAGATTCTGTCTTCTGTTTGTTCTATTCTGCTGGATTGGCCTTCCGTTTTGTTTTGCAGTTCTGTTTCGTTCTTTTTTCTGAGGTTTTCCATATCCTGGCTGTTTTCTTCTTTATTGTTGTCTATTTTTGTCCTGAGTTCATTTATCCATTTATTCATTGTGTTCTCTCTTTCACTTTGGTGTTTATACAGTGCTTCTATGGTTTCCTTTATTTCTTCTTTTGCTTTTTCAAATTCTCTATTTTTTTGTCTTGGAATTTCTTGAGTGTCTCCTGTACATTTTGGTTGACCCTATCCAGTATCATCTCTATAAAATTCTCATTGAGTACTTGTAGTATGTCTTCTTTTAAATTATTCTTGTGGCTTCATTGGGTCCTTTGGCATAGTTTATCTTCATTTTGTTGGAGTCTGGATCTGAGTTTCTGTTCTCTTCATTCCCCTCTGGTTCCTGTACTAATTTTTTGCTGTGGGGAAACTGGTTTCCTTGTTTTTTCTGTCTTCCTGTCATTGTCCTTGGTGTTGTTACTGTCCCTGTACTGTGTGTAATTAAGTATTTTCTAGCTTGTAATAATAACAATGGTAATATTGAGAATGGAAGAGTGAGCTGAGATGGAAAGCAAGAAGTTAAAGAAAAGGGGAAAACAAATATACAGACAAGAGGAGAAAGCAGAACAAGGTATCAGACAAGAGAGTTTCAAAGGTATAAACAGGGAGTGTTAGTGTACTAATCGACAGTAAGCTGAACAGACATAGAGAGACAGAGAGAGGATTGAAAATCAAAGATAAAAAAAAAAAAAAATAAGTATGAAAGTAATATCTATTATAAAAATGAATTAAAATAAAATGGAAAATAGAAAATTAAAAAAAAAAAAAAAACAAAAAACAAAAAAACTTCCAAGTTTATATGCAATGCAATTTCAGTCTTAATAATTTGGATGTCCGTCTCAATCTCCAGTCCTGGAGTTGGTGCCTCAGATGTTGTTCTGTAGTTGTCTCATCAAAGGGGATGCATAAAGTAGAACAAAACTACACTCACACACACACAGAAGAAAAAAAAAGCCCCACCAAGTGTCCCCAGTTCAAATGCAATACAGTTTCAGTAAGTTTTTCGGCTTGCAGGTGTAATTCGGTTGTTCTCTCATCAAAGGTAGGGAGAAAAAGAAAAAAAAAGCGTCTGGAGGCAGTTCTGAGAGTGGTATCTGCAACTGTGGCTTGCCTGCCTGCTGCTCTCAGCCTGTAGCTGGCGGCGTTATTTATGCAGATCTCTGGGGTGAGCTTAGCACTCACCTGGTCCCACAGGCTTTGTTTGCTCAGAGTTCTCCTGTGCGGGGGAGGGGGGCCTCTGCTACAGGCTTTTCCCTTTCCAAGCACTGGGAAAGGCGACACTGCCCCGCGTTGTCAGGCCTGCGTGTTTATTTACAGTTCACGTGGGAAGTGGGTCTTCCCTCCTCTCACAAGCGTCCCGCTCCTGGTTGCTGGCGCGCCCCGCTCCCGCCAGAGCCTCTCCGGCCCGCCCGGCTCGTTTATTTACAGTCCCGGGAAGGATTCCCTTCCCCCAATCTTCAGCGCTCAGGGCGCCCCACCCTCTTTCCAGCGTGTCTTAACTGTTCTTATTGCTTAGTACTCAGTTTCTCTTTTTTTCCCGGGTGGAGGTCAGTCTGTCCAGGGGGCTATGCTGCTCTGGCCCAGGCTTGTCTGTGGGGGAACCGCGGTACCGCGAAGCTCACCTGGTCCGCGTCTTCCCAAGCCGTATGGGCGCCGGCCACTGGCGGCCCGGGGGCCTCCTCGGTTCTCCGTTTAACGTGAAGTGGAGATTCTCTGCGCCGGCTGGAGGTGTGGAGGGGTCAAAGTTATGCCTTTTCTCGGTGATTATGCCTGCAAAGTGTGTCTCCAGCGTCTCTCCAAGATTTCACTATAGGAGGCTCGCTTTCTGCTTCCTACCTCTAGCCGCCATCTTGGAATTCCTCCCCGCTCGTTAAACTTTGATGCATTAAACACTTAAAGTTTTTTTCTAAGGCATTTTAACTTAAAACCCAAAGTGGTGTTCAAATTCTGTGTGCATGAGGGGCTTAGATTTTGGGATGATCTGTAAGGCACACAGAAGAGTTAAGTGGCAACTGATGAAGTTAACAGTTTCCACCTTTGAGCCAGGGTCCAGTTAGGTGGGAAGACGAAGCACCCTGGGTGGATCCCAGATGCCTGGTCAGCCTGGGAGGGGTGTGGTTTTGCAAAGCCAAATGTGTCATATGGCAGCATTCAGCAGGGTGCACGATATCAAACTGAACATGGAGCTCACTGATCAGGACAGTTCATTTAGACAAGGAGAGGGCATGGGATTGGCAGGATGGCTCAGGAATTCATTCCCAAATACTGGGGCCAGAGTCCAGGCTCCATGTGGGGTTTAAACAAAACCCCTGCAAGCCTGAGAGAGAGTGAGATCACATATTAACTTTTCCTTATTTATTTATTTTTATTGTTGTGGTGGGTGGGGGTACACTGTGGCATTTACAAAAGTTTGTACAATATATCAAGTGTAATATACTTGAATTCACCCCCTCTACCACTCTCCTTTATCCCCCTCTCCTCCCGTTTCTGGAACAGTTTCAACAGGTCTCATTTTACCATTTACATACAGAGATCACACATTAACTTTACTTTTGTGTCCCATCTTCATTTTTGTTCCTGGGTTTAGTATCTGAAATTTCTGGATCAGCTGTCAGAAAAAATGAAATTAGGCCATATGGCTGCTGAACTTGGCTTTGACATGCGTCTGGATGTAGTTTTATCTCGTACAGAGCAGCTGGTCCGCCTTGAGAACAGCGCAGTCATCGAAAACAAGACTATTGCCCACAATTTACAGAGAAAGGTAGGAATACTGAAATTTAGTAGTACTGACGGAAAGGATTTCTGAAAAACCCAAATATGGAAAAATGATTTACCCACCCTATCACTGATATGGCTAGGAAACATAGAAATGTATATTTAGAATTTGAATCTTGATTTTAGATCTGAAGAATTGGTAAGTGAATCTCTCACCTAAGGTTTTGCTTCACTGTGAGTAGCAGAGCCCCAAATACCAGTGGCTTAAACAAATAGAAGTTGTTTCTTTTCTCACGCACATTGCTGATGACACACAGCTTAGGGTTGGTGGGGCAGCTCTCCTCTCTCCCATCCTTAGGGGACCAGGCTCATCTCTGCTCATTAATTTCCCATCCTGAGGATGGCCCTGATCCTAAAGGCTCAAAGTGGTGTCTAGAACCATTATATCCGTGTTCCAGAAGGAGGAGAGGAAGAGGAGGGGTGCAAAAGAACACACAAGTGGTATCTTTTGAAGAAGGGGCCCAGAAGTTGCTACATGAACTTCTGTTCATACCCTTGGCCAGCATGTGCTCTGATGGCCAAACTTAGCTGCAAAGGACACTTGCAAATGGAGCTGCTAGATTTCAACTGCTGCTACTGTGGGAGAAGAGGAGAACTAGAGGAAATCTAGCAGTCTCTGCATTTCCAAGTGTTATTGTACCAGGAAGTAGAGAGAGGCTCACTCTTCATTCATTCACTCAGAGTTAGAAACAGTTTAGAGAATGAATGGATAAATGGATTGAAAGGGATAGAGTATAATTATTAGTTTTATAATTATTGGTGTTGGAGAAAGAAAAGAGGAAAACACAGATGTATTCTTGTAATAGTTCTTAGGAGAAAATTCTATGGTTGAATTCTAGTGTAGAGGGCCCAATAATGAATCACATCTGGGTTCCCAGTTTGTCTCCACCAAGCTGTGTGACCTTGGACAAGTTACATACTTCTCTGTTTCCTCACATTAAGATAGGAATGACACATACCCCAATAGGTTGTTAATTTTTAGTAAACAACATTTTTGAACTGTTGGCTCATAGAAGATTCTTTTGGCCACTTCCCCCAATTTACTATATCTGGAGGAATATTTTATAAAAGAAGCAGACAGACCTGATTACCATCTGGGATATTAAATTGAGCTGTAATTATTTCCAGAGTTCTCAGATAACTGATTTCCTTTCTTAATGTCCAATACTATTTGCTTCTTAAGTATGTAATTACTAAAATTACCAGAGTATAGCTCTCACTAGCATACATTTGCAACAGAGTGGAATTTGACATGAAGAAGCTCCAGAGGTCTGGGTGTGGTGTAACTGCCTGTAATTCCAGTTATTGGGAAGTGGAGTTAGGGGAATCACAGCTGGAGGCCAGCATGGGCAAAACAAGTTAGCAAGACTCTATCTCAAAACACAAGCTAGGAATGGGGGATAAGAGAGAATGGGGGAGGGGGTGAATTCAAGTATGATATATTGAAGGAACTTTTGTAAATGCCACAATGTACCCCCACCCAGCACAACAAATAAAAAACCCCACAAACGGGTGTGGTGGCACATCACAGTTATATAGAAGGATCACAGCCTAAGGCTAGTCCTGGGCAAAAGTGTGAGGCCCTATCTGAAAAACAAAGCAAAGCAAAAAAAAAAAAAAAAAAAGGCTGGAGGTATGGCACAAGTGGCAAAGTGCTTGCTTAGTGAGAACGGGCCCTGAGTTCAACCCCTGGTACCATCCCTCACTCCAAAAAGAAAAAAAAGCAAGCAAGCAAGAAAGCTCAGGAAAGGTAGTTGGTAGTTGGTTGAAGAAATGTTAGAAGGCATGGACACAGCTGTGACTGTGGGGAAGCAGCTCAAATCAGCATTTCACCAAGTCCTCCCTCTTCTAACACTTCACAGGCATGGAGTAGGTAACCAGGGAGGGAGGGAGAGATGGTCTTCAATCCGAACATTCTATAATTGCACTTGATTCCTGCTCCCAAGCTTTATAACAGATCACATAGGTATCTGGATTTAATACCCACGCACCAATGTGACAGGCAGAGCTCAGGCAGATCTCTTCCCCTGTAGTCATTTTCTAAATGTTGTTCACATTTCCTTCATCAATTTGACTGCCAATGGAAGCATGTTTGAGGTCCCCGTCCTCTGCTTGGTTGGTGGACCTTATAGGCGAGGCATACAACAAAAACCCCAAAGAAGTAAAACCTTCTAGTTGTGTGGTTTCAAATATGTAAACAAAGCTTAGAAATCTCCTTGGTACATCCCTCTGTAAAAATATAACAACTTGTATCCAGGCATGCACCTGTTCTAAGGGATTTAAATTGGCCAGTCCAGGCTGGCAGTACCAATTTGTACCCTATCTTGTTGCAGAATATACGCTAGTGCAGGTATTGTGGCCACTAGTGTTGGAGAGTACTTTGTCTCTTATTGTGTTCTTGATCAGCTTACTTTATTAGCCTTAAAGTAATTTCACATCTTTATTATGATGCCCACATGTTGGTGAGACGCAGCTGTGGAGAGGCGACTCCTTTGCACCTTTTCTGTAGTTCTTTTGCCTTATGCTTTGCAGCTACAAAATTAATTCTTGGAAAAAATATGAATAAAAAACTGTAATCAGGACAAGGAACCCAATGACCTTTTTTGATGGTTTATAAATTAGTCTTGTTGAAGTATAGATAAAAATCGACATTATCTGAGTAATTCATTTATATTTACTGACTGTTCAATTATTTGAAAAAAAAAAAAATCCCTGTTTGTACCAAACCAGCTGAAGACTCAGAAGGAACGACTGGAGAGCAGAGAGCTCCATATGAACCTCCTTCGGCAGAAAATAGTGCAACTGGAGGAGGACAAGCAGGTGCGCACGGCCTTGACCGTGGAGAGGGATGATGCCCATCTCACCATCAGGAAGTTGGAGAAGAAGGTGGAGAGGATGCAGAAGGAGCTGAGCATGTGTCGTGAGTCCAACACTGAGCTCAAAGCCAAGCTGGCTGATACCAACGAACTTAAGGCAAGTTCGCCAAGTGTGCTGCTCATTGCCTTGTTGCTGGCTTTTTTTTTTTTAAATGCAAAAGAGGGACAGCCTCCTAGTGAACACACCAGAAAAAGAGAAGATGAGAGCATCCTCTTATTTTCTAGCATTCTGGGAAAAAAATGTGGAAATTACCTAAGTCAGAATATTATGTCCATTTAGTGTCTTTTCAATATTTGAAGTGAAGCCGTTGCTACTGTGAAAAGTCTGTCAAAAAGGGGTGGCATTAAGAAGATAAAATAAGCACATTGCTTCAAGGTGTAGGTGACTGTGCAATGGGGACTGGTGGAGGGATTTAATTTATCAGACAGGAATTTGTTTAGGGGGAAATGAGAAGGGTTAACATGGTTCACTGAGAAGGCTCCGTGTATGAGCGGTGTGGGGACGTACCTCCTGGACTTGGACTGGACTTTGATAAAAAGACGTAGATGTCATGCATGCATGCTTGCCTCTGGCAGTAACATGCCACTTACCCCTAGCAATGTGTCTTACAAACACAGCGGACAGTAACATCCTGGCTCTCTGCAGACGAACTCTCTGGAACTGACCTGGAAGGTTTTCAAATCTGGAAACAGACCAACAGGGAAAACAGCATCTGGAATTGAGGCGACTCCTGTACGTGTGGAGCGGGCACCGTACTTCAGGAAGTCTTTTCCGCCGCGGCCCCCCTGCCACCCCAAGCTCTTCTGAGCTCAGAACTTGACCATGGAATTGAGGCGTTTCCCTAGCACAGGAGACAGCAGTCGGCCTGCGAGGGCCGTGTGTTAACACGGGAAAGGAGAAGGCAGCGGTGTCGGGGGCAATCAGAGATGACTGTCCTCAGTGTCCCTCTCATGCCTTGAGATTGAGTGTGGGACTTTGGGGCTGTGATGGGGTGGGGGTGGGAGCTCTGAAGTCAGCCTGGGCTGCTCCCAGCCTGGCTGGAAGGGACTGCGGGGGTGTGGGGAAGGGGAACCCCCATGTTGCCCCAGTTCCCCAGAGCCTGGACTTCCCTGGCACCATGGGGCATATGGATGAGGACAGAAAACAGTGCTAGAGATCACACTGGGGAGCAGAGGGCTGTGGCCTTCAAGGGAGGGACAAGGAGGCCCCAGTCAGAGGCCCCGGGCCAATCAGCCAAGCTCTGATCCTGTGGCAGTTACAGCCAAGCCTTGAAAGAGTGGTGAGTGAACCAAGGCTCAGGGTGGGCCTTGCCTAATGGGCGAGCACTCATGGTTTCACAGACAGTAGAATTCAGGTGTGATTCAGGAAGCAAGAGTGTGAGAACCGCCTCTCTCAACTCCACAGGGTCCCCACCCCCCATACCATGTCAGGAAGGGAGAAGAGGACCCCTGAAAGAAGGACCCATGTACGAAGCCTCAGGAACTGTGGTTAGGTTACGAACACCACATGCCCTAACAGCTTGGGGTGATGGGTGTGGGGAGTTGGTCTCTTGCTTCAAATGACTGTGCGTATACCCTGAAGTTACCATGGCTGGGACCTTGCTTTGGTTGCCTCTGGAGGCTGTTCACTTCCAGGCTAGGGCCACTTGTCCCTTCTGTTCCCTTCTTCAGAAGGTACAAAGGCATTACTTTGTTAGAATATGAAGGGGCTTTAAACACTGCCAAAGAAGAGGGAAGGGCATGGTGGGGTACACCTGTAATCCCAGCTTCTTGAAAGGCAGGATTGAGGTCCCAGGCTGGCCCTGGGAAAAGCTTGAGACCCTATCTGAGAAAACAAACCAAAGCACAAAGGGCTAGAGGCAAGGCTGAAGTGGAAAGATAGCTAATGGGGGGGGTGTGTCATGGAACCAAAAACGAAAAGGAGCTTCACCATGAGAGCCAGGGTGTAATTAAGGAGTTTGGACTGATTCTTGGAGTCCTGGGGAGCCATGGAGGCTCTGAGGGCAGAGAGCTCCATCATGAAGCCTCGATTCACAGAATCAAGGGAGCAGTGGGATGAGACTGAAGGGCTGTCCACTGCACTTGACTCAGGAACATCGAGACCTCAGCCCGTGCGGTAGAAGACTGCAATGGTACCAGGAGAGGGCATTGAGAGTCAGGCGCCTCTCAGGGATGAAAGGGAAATGGAAATAAAATCCGTGTGCTGCCCTTCAGAGAGTCGAATGAAAAGGGAAGAGGGTTGGCAGAACAGATGAAGTTGGCTTGTGTGTTTACTTTGGTCCACACGCTCTCAGCGATGAGACGTGGGAAGGGTAGAGAGGCCGGGTTTGACACAAGACTTACCCCTAGACATTTAAATGGCTGCCAAGTGTGTCTTCCGGTGGACAGAGAGAGCTCTCTCAGTGACACACTGAATGCTAAGTTCATGCATGTAGGAGATTGCACATAATTTTCTCAAGGCATCTAATGTTGGTGTCCAAGCTAGACGAGAATATCACTTACCCATCTTCGACGTTGCCTAAGCTCATCCCTGTATTACTTTCACTCTTCATAAAGCAACATTTTTGGGTATCAGGAACAATGACCTTACCACAGTAAGCTTCTAGGGCTTCCCAGTTATGACCACCTGGGCGCTGAGCACCATAGGGATGTAATTCTCACAGTTCTGGGGGCCGAGTCTGCAGCCAAGGGGTCCACAGGGTTGTGGGCTCCTGGGGTTCCCAGGGAGTCTGCTTCCACTCTCTCCTCATTTCTGCTCAACTGGTTAATTTTTAAATTTGTTTCTGAGACAGAGTCTCACTATGAAGCCCAGTTGGCCTCCAATTTCCAATCCTCCTGCCTCTGTCTCTTGAGTGCTGGGATTACAGGTATGCACCACCATGCCCAGCTTTCAGAGTTTTAAATATAATGACTTTTCCTTTTTGGGCCTTTGACAGTTATATAGGAGAGAGGATTGTCTACCAGATTTAACAGTTCCTTCCCTGAGGCAGCAGACAGCACATACAGTGTTTGCCATGAGAGAGGCCCCCTGGGAACCTTCCCACCCTGGCTGCCTTCTCAGGGGCACATCAATCTTATTTATGGCCAGTTCTGTTGGCTGGAATAAAACTGGGGGCACAGGCTCCCAGGAATCCGGTGTTGACTTTAGAAGGCTGAGCCTCCGTCACTGCCACCGGCTCCCAGTTTGGTCCTGGTGGCTTGGCTCAGAGTTTCCTTACTTGCTCTTGCCTCCTGACGACAAGAATCCAGGCAGTGCTCAACATAGTGAGAAATTCTATTTGTTTCAGAGTTCTTGGCAATACTCTCAATAGGCCTCAATTCCGTTTGATTCTAAGCTGTGTCCCATCACCACTGTATACGTTTCCAAAGCTTGAAGAGAAAGGCAGAATATTAATGAAGCGTTGAGTTCAGCACACACTGCTGTATATTTTCCCTATAGCAGTGAAACAGGTTGCATGCATAGGGAATCTGCTTTAATGAGAGATAACTTTGTTTTAAAAAATTGAAATTCATTTCGTCCATCTAGTTCTTCCAGTTTGTAAATGTTTGATAGTCTATAGGTTATTTGAAGCAGCAAGTTTATGTAACTTATAAATAAATATACATATGTATTAAATTTCTTTTTTACTGATACGGTTCCTTTCCCAGCTCCTTGTTTTGAAAAATTTCATATCTACAGAATGATTTTAAGACAGTATAATGTATATTCTTTTGCCCCTGCATAGATTGTTAACATTTTAGTAATTGCTATATTAAGTCTAGCAAGAGAGATTGAATATTTTGCTCAATCATTTGAGAGTAAGTTGTAAACATCTTGACACTTCTTCCCTAAATACTTTTTCTCCTTCACCGTGATGCAGTCAGCACTCTTGGGAATTGTTATGGAGGAAATATTTGGATACTCTTGTACCTAATATAGAGTCCATACCAAATACAGGCTCTGGTAACTTGGGATCCATGAATGATCTCCAAGGTCAAGGACTTGCACATAGTGGGTGGCATTCTCTGTCTCAAGTGCCTGCTCTACCTGGTACCATTTCATAGACACCAGTGCAGAGCCCTTTCCCCCAGCTACTGGCATTTATTTTCTGCCCATTTCCAGAGCTGCAGAAGTTGCTCTTTTGCCTCCTTGGTAGCAAGTCACACAGCTGTTATTGGCTTCCCAAAGGGAGTTTGTCTTCCCTGGGTGGAGCCAGTTTAATATCTATGACTGGTCCAAGGGTGTCTACTATTGGCCTCTTTCTATTTAGAAAAGTGTCTTAGTTGTAGCCTGTTAAAACAAATTTCTGTAACTGGTTGACATGTAAAGAACAGAAACTTAGTCCTTACAGTTCTGGAGGCCAGGAAGTCCGAGGTCAAGGTACCAGCCGATTTGATGTCTGCTGAGGGTCTGCTTCCTGGTTCATAGGTGATACCTTCTGGCTGTGTCTTTGCATGGTAGAAGGGACAGTGAAGCTTGAATGAGTTGTAGTGGATGAAAGCTGGTTTCTAGTTTACGATTCAGCAGATATTTGACTCAGGTTGTCTTAATTTAGTGAATGAAATCACACAAGACGGTGTAAATCTGATTTAGTCATATCCCAAGGAGGCCCATCTCCTCTTCATCATGTCTTAATTGCATCCAACAGTGTCCACTCTCCCTCTGACTTTCTTGTAGGATAGCAAGAACCTTCAGAGTTTAGATCAGGTCAAATTCAGTCATAGTGAAGAGGCACTGTAAGCCCAAGGCAAGGTAAGATGTCAGTCTCTCATTCATGATGTCAGACATTGAAAACCCTTGATCAATAAATAACCAGCAGTCCAGCAACTAAATAATAATTGCTAGCTTTATCAATACTTAAAACACCCATCCCAGTCAGAAAACCCCAAGAGTAAGGGTTTAAAGTGTGTTTCCCTTCTCAGATTCCCTCAAATTGCTTTGTAGCACCTGGACCTCCTCTGGTTCCCTCAGCACCACTGCTAGTTTCCTCCTTGTCTTTCCAGCAGCTCTTTGTCCTCTAGTTTCCCTGGCTCACCTCCTTCCTGGCACTCCCCCTTTACTCTGTTAGTCAGCTTTCTCGTTGTTGTGAAGACTGCCTGACAGACATCTTAAAAGAGGAGAGATTTATTCTGCTCAGCTTCAGAGGGTTCAGGGCATGGTTGCTTGGCCCCAGGCTCCTGGGCAGGACATCAGGGGGGTGTCCCCTCTTTCTCCTCATGGTGGTCAGGAAAGAGAGTGTATGGAGGGGACTGAGGACCAGGTTTAACCTTCAGAGGCACGTCCCCAGCGACCTACTTCCTACCATTAAACCACCTCCTTAAGTTTCTAGAACCTTCCAAAATAGTGCACCAGCTGGGGACTGTGTTTAACCCTGAGCCTGAGGGGGACATTTCATATTCAAACCATGATTCAGTCCTAGGAGGAACAGGGTGGAAGAAGATGCAGCGAGAAAATATCCTTTCTTCTTAGGAGAGAAGGAATGGGAGGGAAGGGAGAAAAATGCAAACTCCATTGGTATCTTTTGGTCAGTTACTCACGTACTTAACTTTTAAATGACTTGAGCTCAAAATTTTAAAAAACATAAAATGATGCTTGTTCTTTGAGGCTGTGCTCACGGACCTCATTTGGTCTGTCAGAAATCACTATCGGATTCAGAGCTCTGTCCATCTGTGCTCTGTGTCGACTCATCCCCTGTGTACTTATTTATTTATTTACTTATTTGAATTTATTTTGATATTTTTAAGGGTGTCTTTGTAAATGTACTTTTAAACAATAGCTTTATGAAGAATCAGTTCACATACCATAAAATTCATTCTCTCTCTCCCTTCGTGGGACTGAGGTTTGAACTCAGGACTTCAGGCTTGCAAAGGAGGCCTTCTTCCACTTGAGCCACACCTCCAGTCCATTTTGCTCTGGTTATTTTGGAGATGGGGTCTCGTGAACTATTTGCCCATGCTGGTCTTGAACCACCATCCCTGATTTCAGCCTCCCAAGTAGCTGGGATTACAGGGGTGAACTACCGGCACCCAGCTAAAATTTCACCCTCGTAAAGTGTGTAATTCAGAGGTTTTCAGTATATTCACAGAGTTGTGCAGGCATCACCACTACCTGATTCAGAATGGTTTTATCATCCCGCACAGAAACCCTGTACCCACAGGCTGTTACTCACATCCTCCCCTCCCCTCGGGTTCAGTCCTTTGCTGGATCTTTCATGTAAGTGGAATCACATGATATGTGGTCTTTGCAATTGACTTTTTCCCCTTGATGTGATGTCTTAGCATGCCATTCTTTTTGATTGCTGAGTAACATTCCACTGTCATGGTCAGACCTCATTTTGTTTTTCTGTTCATCAGTTGATGGGCACTTGCATTGTTTCCACTTTGGGGCAATTACGAACAATGCTTTCATGACCTTTGTGAACAGGTTTTTGTGTGGACCTATGTTTTCAGTTCTCTCGGTGTATACCTGCGGATGGCATTGCCAGGTTATATGATGACTCTCTGTTGCATTTTGAAAACTGCCCTCTGTCTTCCACAGCAGTAGTGTACAAGAGTGCCAGCTTCCCATGTCCCTGCCAACACTTGTGACTGTCTGTCACTTGCATTTTAGCCTCCTATAGATGCTACATGGTGGCTTCATTTGTGTTTGTTTCTAACAGTCATTTAAAAATATCTGTTTCTGTACCAAACTACTTCAGATTCCTTAATTTTATGTGATGAAGGAAAAATACCACATTTACCATTTTAGCCATTAATAGTGTACATTTCGGTAGAATTAGCCCATTCACAATGGTGTGCAGTCATCAGCATCACCCATCTCCAGAACGGGTTCATTATTCCAAATGGAAACTCTGCCCATCAGACAGCAGCTCCCGCTCCCCTTCCCCCACCCCGGTGACTCCCACTCCATGCTTTCTCCCTGGCTATGAGAATTAGTCTGTTCTGGATGTCTCACGTCAGTGGAATGAAGCAACCTTCGTCCTTTTGTGCCTGCCTTATTTCACTTGGCGTAATGTTGTCAAGGTTTATCCATGTCGTCGTACGTGTCAGAATTTCATTCCTTTTTTACTTAAATTCTTTTGTAAGCAGCTCGGGTACAATCTTCAATAATAAGCTAATGATGAAAACATGCCTCACTCACCCTCCGGGATCCTCTGTGTTTTGACTCCAAGATCCTGGGATAACTCCCTAGTGGGAGGACCAGGCCTGTCTTGTCTGCAGTGGAATGAGGACACTGCTGGTCTAGGCTCCCTCACTGCAAGGAGGAAGACCTGCTGAGTAGATGGTGGGCGGGCTCTGCTGTGGTCCACCGTTAGAAGAGGGAGACATTTTGCTCTTTCTAATACAAGGGATGAGGGCCCTTTGGTAGGGGCAGAAAGTACAAGTTGCTTACAGGATTTATTTTTCATTTTTAAAATTTACTTATTTATTTTTATTAATTTATTTATGTGTGTGGTGCTAGAGTTTTGAATTCAGGGCCTTGTGCTGCTAGGCAGGTGCTCTGCCACTATTTTTGTACTCCAGCCCTATTGAACTTAGGGCCTCACCATTTGACAAGTGCTCTACTGTTTGAGCCACACCCCAGCCCTTTTGCGTTTAGTTTGTTTTTCACATATAGTCGCATGCTTTTGCCTGGGCTGACCTCAGACCACAGTTCTCCTACCTCCACCTCAAGTGTAGCGGGGACCACAGGCATGTGGCGTCATGCCTGGCTTGTTTTTGAGATCTTGCAATATTTGCTCTGGCTGGCCTCAAACTGAGATTCTTCTATTTCTGCCTCTAGAGTAGCTGGGATTATAAGTGTGAACCACCATGCCCAGGTACTTGCAGGTTTTATTTTAGTGTGTCATCCTAGGTGCTCACAAAATTGCTGTCTGTAATTTTATTTCATTGATTTTCCAAATAAGGGTATGCCAGTCTGTTATTTAGAAGCTGAAACTTTCTTAGGTCATGTTTTAACTTGTAATGTTTAGCAAAGTCTGTGTAGCTGTTTGGGATGAATTCCATTCTTTATTCATAAAAAAGTTAGATGATTCCATTAATTTCCGATTTGTCTTATTTATACAGATTCCCTAAATAAATGCAAAAGAAGTAATCAGCATTTTCTTGATTTCTTAGATTAAAACTCTGGAACAGACCAAAGCCATTGAAGACTTAAATATATCCAGAGATAAGCTGGAGAAGATGAAGGAGAAAGCTGAGGAAAAGTTGATGGCTGTCCAGTCGGAACTGGATGCCACTGAGCTTGAGGCTAAGGAGGACAAGGAAAGGGCAAGAAACATGATAGAGGTGGTAACCAGTGAAATGAGGACCCTCAAAAAGTCTTTGGAAGAGGCAGAAAAGAGAGAAAAGCAGGTGAGTAGAAATCTGGCAGTGGAAACTTGCTTAGGAAATGACAAGACAGTTTAAAAGCTTGATAATTATTTTTATATTTAAAAAATATAGAAGCTTCACCAATTTGTGTGTCATCCTTGTGCAGGGGCTCTGCAATCTCTGTGTCATTCCAGTTTTAGTGAATGTCCTGTCAATGTGTTATTTATACATGTCTTCAAAAGTGATTTATAAAGCTTTCTATAGCATTTCAACATATCCACCCACTCTCTAGCATCTTTTTGGCATTCCAATAATCGTGATGATTTGTTCTGCTAAGAAAAACAATTCAGTTTGCATAGCATGGATTGTAAGAAAGGAAAGGAAAGGAAAGGAAATGATGTTATCAAAGCAGTGGAAAACCAGGGAAAAACTGGATTCTGGTTGCAGTGAGGTCTTGTGTTTGGTGAGGTCTTGCATCTGGTGATTGCCTGTGAGGTTCACCTCCTCCCAGGTCCTTTAACATTAAGCAGGGTTGGACCTCAAAGGAGAAGCCTTATCTCCTGCAGAGGTCGGTTATAAGAAACAGCCTCCAATCTCAAACAGTGGCACCCAGACTCCACGGATGACCAAGCACAGATGTAAGCCATTAAAAAAAATACTCATTGGCTGGCTGGTTGCAAGGAGAAGCATTTTATCTGGTGAGCCCATCAGGTCAAGCAGAAAGAAATATGTCCCGGGCAGCTTGACCCTAGTGCCTTTGCCTTTCATGTCACTCTTGTTCTGAAGCTCAAAAGGGCAGAGAGCAGATTCTGGTCCTAGGTTTTCTTTTTTTTCTCTTTCTCTCTCTGGCTGCCTCTGCTTTGGCTCATGTGTCAGGCAGAGTTGGGGAAAGCCAAACTACAGCAGCAAATGTTCTCAGAAAGGAAATAGCTCAGGAATTATGAGCCTTGGCTGCATCCAAAGGGTGGGAAAGTTTGAGGGAAACTTGCATCCGGAGCCTAGGCTTTGGTCTTAGTCTGTTTAGGTGCTATAACAAGGTACCATAATTGGATGGCTTATAAACAAGACATTTCTCAGTTTTGGAGGCTGAAAGTCAGAGATCAAGGTGCCAGCAGATTGGGTGTCTGGCTTATGGTTGGTGTTTCTTGCTGTATCCTCATATGATAGATGGGACAGGACAGCTCTCTGGGGCCTCTGTTGTAACATCACTAATTCCACCATGAGGACGCCACCATCAGGATCTCAGCCAAACCTAATAACTCCCCAAACCCCCTCTCCTGATACCATCACATTGGTTTGTGTCGACACATATTTTGGTGGGGAGGCATGAACATTGTGGGCACAACAGGTGGAGAGAACTAATGGAATCATTTCTGAGACTGGACTCTACATGGAAAGGTGTTTGGAAAGTGAGTGAGCACAGGGTCGGGCAGATTTGAATGATGTTCCCCTGATAGAACTTCAACTGTATGTTGGATCGCACCTTTTCCAAAATGGAAAGGTCACCAGTGTATAGAACATTCTAGATGTTTCTTGGCTGTTGGATACAACACCTAAGATTAGGATGCTGCTGAGAGTAGGGAGATGGTAAAGAGTGATTTATTAGCAAAGCAAAAATATACCTTGAGGGGTGAGGTGGTCGGTTGAATAAGCGTCAGCTGGGAATGGTGCATCTCAAGGAATGAGGTAGGCCATTCAGTAAGGAATGATTGTGTGGAAGCTATAGGGGCTTGAGGCTTTATCCTATAGGGTGGGGCTACTAGATAGTATCAAACTATGGTCCTCCCCTTATGACACTTCCCAAATTGTTAGTTGACTGTGCAGTGGCTTATTCGATTCTCTTGTCCTTCCGCTTTAGGACTACCAGTCAAAGGTAGTATGTCAAGGCACATGCCCAGCCTTGACATAAAGTGTGCCCCATAAGTAGGATATTGGGCCATTATCTTCATGGATGGCCCAGGGCATAGACCATCTGGGGTTTTATGATTCTGCCTCCTCAAAGGGAAAAAGAATCCTGTAGTCTGGGGATACTTCTTCATTTTTGCTTGTGCCTACCTGTCTGTCAATGCTAAGAAAACCAGCCTGGGAGAATTTGAGGAGGTAAGCAGCCTAATTCAGCCATTGTCCCTGACCTCTCCCTTTTGTTTCTTGATGGACAAATAGTAGTCCCAGTTATGGTCTGTGAGGTGTGAGTTGACAGTGATTTATAAAGCCACCTATTTTCATCAGCTCATTTTTTTCTTGCTGTTGGTTCTTATTTTTAATTTTTACTTTAAGATGTTCATTGTCCACTTAAAATTCCAATGCAGAAAGTCACCCATTGGTACATCCATGTCAACATTTGTGTCGCAGTTTCTAGCTGCAGAGCACATGCACAGTCAGCATTTCATTTGTTCTGAATTTCAGAACAGTTAGTATCTTGTTAATCCCACCTGGAGGTGGGTAAATCGTACCGAGTTCAGAGTCTCATTTACGGCTGCATACCTGGGGTTCTTTACCCATTAGCAAACACACACCCTCAGTTGGCTCATCAGAAAAGTGGTTATGAAATTGCCAAAGTTTGCCACCTGAAGGGACTTCAGAAGTCATTTAGCAGAAAAACTTACTTATTTTATAAGTGAGAGAGTTAGGCTAATATAGCCAATTTGCATGTAGGTTTGGGTTTTCCATCTTTTTGGTTGCATTTGACCTGGTAGTGGTTGCTGTCCAAGTTACTGTCTTTTTGTTTGCCGTTGCAGCTGGTGGACTTCAGGGAGGTGATTTCCCAGATGCTGGGCTTAAACATGACCACTCTTGCCCTTCCTGACTATGAGATCATCAAATGTCTAGAAAGACTGATCCATTTATATCACCATCACCTTGTTCCCTGTGCCTGCCTCAGAGACATGACGACTGGGGAAGATAGGCACCCACACGACCACTTAAAACTTCTTCATTGAACACTGTTCTCGCTCAAGGGAAGTGGGGCTGAGAGACGGCGCATAATTCTCCAATTCACAAATTCCTCATATGTTTCAAATTTCATCCGTGTATGAATATCGTATGCCTTGATGGTATAGGGAGAATGTGTTTCAGGCAAAAAGGGATCTCAAAGGTGCCGGGCCTGGATAAGTATTTCACACTAAAAGCACCTATTATTTCACTTGCTTTTAGCCAGAAGAATCCCCTGGATTGCACACCTCGATTGGGAAATGGGAGCCAGGGTACACAGTCATGGGCTATTTTTTTTGTGAGTTGGGATTTATTAGCCAATTTAATTCTCATAACCATGTACAGAAACTTTTGCAAAATTATTTTTTGATAAATATTTTTATTTGGCACATAGAAATCATACCTACTTATGGCTGCAGTGTGACATTTCAACACATGCACAGCAGATTGGGATAAATGAGGAGCTCTTTGGTGGTTTGAACTCAGGACCTCACGCTTGCTAAGGTACTCTACCACTTGAGCCACTCCACCAGACCTGGAAGGAGCTTTTACACTTTTATTTTACAACCTCTCTGGGGCTCAGAGACAATGTTGCCTACGCAAGGTTGTGGTTGGTAAGTGTGGAAGCCAGGATGTACAACACAGTCAAAGGCTGTGTTCCTTCTACTCACAGTCTTAGTGTTTCCTAAATCTTCATAAGGATTGCTAACATAAAGGGAGGAAAACATCCGCATCATCAAGAATTAAAGTCCAAAACTGACAGTTATGAGAGTGTGACCTATGTGGCTTCTTTAGAAAGCAGTACACCTGTTTATTTGGATAAAGCACCCATAGGGTCTGATATCGACTTACCTGCTTTAAATGTTGCTACCAGACTGTACCTGGTGGTGATTTTGAATGTTCCAGCAGACCTGAGCTCAGTACTATAAGCCTTTCATGTTGACATCAACCCCATGGGACAAGTTTTGTTCACCCATGTATCAGATATACTCACAGCAAGAAGCTGTGAGTAATTTTTCATGATCCTTGTTTTATAATAAATCTCTATGAATCTCTGACTTCTTTTAAAATTTCTGTTGCACAAATATTTTTCAAGAAATCATACTTTTTCATTGAGGAAAGAAAATGTGTTATCTCTTTTGGATGGTTTACCTTATTTTAATCTTATGAAATGTCTAGTTGCCAATTGTCCTTGCCAGAAGCACTCTTGTCATATCAGAGTTCAGTGAAAAATGGATTTAGTGCACTGTGACATTAAGAGAATATAAGAAATATACAATTAACTGTCCATAAGTTGTCAAAAAGTCAACGACAGAAACAAGGTGTGAGCCGCTGCTAGCCTCCAAGAGATTACAGACACCTAACAATCAGTTGCAGAGGTTGAAAGTAAATTAGAACCCAGTTTGGATAAAAAACAAAAAAGCATGAAAGTATTCTTAGAAAAAACTTGAATATGGACTCAATATTAGATGATATTTTTTAATTAAAAAAATTTAAGCTTGATAAAGATGTTGTTACTGATTGTTGTAATTTCAGTATTTAAAAATATCCGCCAATCCATAGTGCTACACAAAATAAGTGATAAAATGAGATGGGGAGTAAAGAGCTATTTCTAAGAAAATTACCATCTAACAAACGTGATAGAATGGTGAAACAGAGAGAAAAGGGAAGGTCTAAAAGAAAGCAGGTAAGTGTTATTTACAGGTTGGATGACAGACACAGAGGGAGGAGACCCTCTGTCTGTGCTTGGGGTGGACCATCTCTGCAGGGCTTTCTCCCAGGTGTGCAAGGCTCTTATAAGTAGCATTGACTGTGCCAGTGACTAAACATCCCATGTGGTCCTGACCTGACGGAGGACACCAACTAGACCCTCACCCCAGAGGCCTACAGGCAGTCTTGAATTTTCTCAGGGGAAGGCCTGTGGGCTCTGGAGGGCTTCTGTGGGCCCTGAAGTGCTCCAGAGTGGCTGTGGCTGCTGCTCTGGACCTACCCTCCCCCCCTGAGTAGAGGAAGCGACTTCACTGGGTCCTTGGAGCATGTAGCCATGAATATGGCCGTGTGTGTGTGAGTGTGCCCGAGCGCACGCCCCCATGTGTGAAGGTTGTGTTTGTACATTCTATTTTTATTTTTCAAAGATTGTGTATCTTTAATAAATCTGATTTATCTTCTCTGAAAGTTTATTTTCTGCACAATTCAAAGATATTTTAAATAGTACTATTAAAAGACATAAATATGTCATATCACTTTTTCCATTTTTGCTTTATCATTAATTATATGTCAGAATTCATGTAAGAGACTAAAAATAGTCCACAGTGGTTTGTTAGCACCATACTTTATCATATGAAATTACAATCCATTTATCCAAATATTTATACTGTATGAATCAGATGTATATTGAATCAGATGTATATTGAATAATTTTCAGTACATATAGAAATATTTAAAACTTTTTTTTTTGGTGGTATTGGGGTTTGAATTCAGGGCTTCATGCTTGCTAGGCTCTACCACTTGAGCCACTCTGTCAGCCTTTTTTTGTGTTGGTATTTTCAAGGTAGTGTCTAGGGAACTATTTCCCTGGGCTAACCTTAAATCACAATCCTCCTGATCTCTGCCTCCTGAGTAGCTAGGATTACAAGTGTGAGCCAAGGCACCTGGTTTTAAAATATTTAACTAAAAAAAAAATTCTTAGAGACTTTCAGTGGAAAGGATGCATGATAAAGACATTCTGCCCATGCTTGTAGCTTATATATGCACTCTTTATCATTTGGACAAGTTGAAAATCCATTAGTAAAACCATTTACCTCCTTGTGAAATGTCAGTTTGTTGTTGGCTTTCCCTCTGTGGCACTCATTCTAGATTTGGCAGGCCAGTTTCATATTTTCATGTTAGATTTTGTTCTTCTATAATATCCATGTATATTTTATGATGCCTAGTAAAACGCATTAGATTGCTGTGATTTTTAGATAAGGTCTTGAAATATTTAATAACCAACCCTTCTACCAAATTCACTGAAGTGAAATTGCTACTGAGGTTATTATTCTGGTCACTGAGACGTTGAAATATTTGCATAAACTATCTCAGAAGAAAATGTAAGCCCAATCTATGTAAATTTCCAGTTTTCTAGTCTCTTACAGAGGTACAACAAATGATTCAGATCCAGGGGTGTGGGCTGCAGGCTGTTTTAAGCTGAAAGTGTTGACACTGTTAGAGCTTAGAAGTCAAGTCTAATTTTTATTGGGGCAGCGTTTCTTGGTGACAAAACCTTTGATCTTTGACCTGGCAGGTGCCTCCCAGCTTTTCCAATAGTGATCTTAACCTCTCTATTGCACACTGCAGTTGGCTTCTCATTAGTGAGGGGTCTGGAAGCTTCTCGTTCCCCTGTGTGGTCTCCACACTGTTGTTCTTTCACCTTGCATAAAAGTGACCGCCCTTTTGAAGCGCCTGCTAACTGAGGAATAAATTTCCCCTGGTCTTCATCATGGTTACCCGCTAACATCTTGTCTATTCTCTCTACTTAAGACTTTCACAAATGGTACATAAGTATAAACTTCCTACCCCACAGAGCACTGCCCTCATTTGGGTGACTTTAATGCCCATAAAACCAAGCCATGCCACATCAAATCTGGAGTTCTTAGGCCTTCTCAGCTTTCATACCCTTACCATCTTTTTTTTAAAAAAATATTTAAATTATGATATATTGCTGGCAGAGTGGCTCAAGTGGTAGAGTGCCTGCTTAGCAAACATGAGGCCTTGAGTTCAAACCCCTGTGCTGCCTTTGAAAAAAAAAAGAATACATAACAAATAAATTACGACATATTCATTATACAGGAGGGGATCCGTAGTGACAATTCCAATTAGTCGTAGTGTACATTAGTTACATCGCCCCATCATTTGTCCCCTCAACCCCTCCCCACCCCACTTAATTGCAAGAGGTTTCTTTGTTCTATTTCATATAGGCATATGAAGCCCATCAACCATATATCCTCACTTTAATCTCCTTCATTCACACTCCCCCCTCTCATTTGTACCCCCCCCACTGTACCTATTTTGCAGTCCTATTTCTCATTATTAGTTCAAAGGGGTGTCTCAATGCATGCCCACTGTGGGTGTGTTTTACTTTGGACCATGCAACCCCTTCCATTATTCTCCCTTACCCCTTTTCCTCTCACCCCGCACTTTACAACAGCTTTCAATACACATCCTTATATCCTCTTCCTTCACAGATGTTATGTAATTCAAATCCTTATATCCTCTACCTTCACAGATGTTATGTTTTATGATATTACTGATATTCTATCATTCTCCTTTCCTTCCTTCTTTCCCCATGTTCCATAGAGTAATTCCACTATTGCAAACACATTCTGCATATGAATTTGTATATGATCATGCTTATTGTTGTATATATGTTTATCTTTTGGATCTACCTTCCACATATGAAGAAAATATGTGGCCTTTGTTTTTCTGAATCTTACTTCATCAACATCATGTCTTCCAATCACATCCATTTACCTTCAAACCATGTCATTATTCCTTATGGCTGAGTAAAACTCCATTGGGTATATGTACCACAATTTCATGATCTATGCATAAGTTGTAGGGCACCTGGGTTGTTTGCAAATGTTGGTTTTTGTGAACAGTAGTGTGATGAACATCGGTGTACAGGTGTCTCTACTCTATCCTGTCTTACATTCTTTTGGGTAGATCCTCAGGAGGGGTATCATTGGATCATATGGCAGTTCTATGTCTAGTTTTTTGAGAAATCTCCATACTGTTTTCCATAATGGTTGTACTAATTTGCATTCTCACCAGCAGTATATAAGGGTTTCTGTTTCACCACATCCTCACCAGTGTTTGTTGTAGTTATTACCCTTGATCATGGCCATTCTAACTGTGGTGAGATGAAATCTAAGTGTTGTGATTGGCATCTCATTTATAACCAGGAAAGTTGAACATTTCTTGTATTTACTGGCCATTTATCTCCTTTGGCTTCAGCCATGTACACCCTAGG